AGAGTTTCCTTAGCTCGGATTTTATGTCTGACACGTTCGCAATGGCTGTATCTTGAGTCCATGGTTACCTCTCAGTTTAATGGACTCCTCGGTTGGCCAGTTAACGATCCAAGTTGCTAGTCGTAAAGCCCACTGCCTCAATCGTAATCGAAGTCACAGATCGTGGCTTCAGGCAATCGCTGCAGGATAATAAACTCTAGGAATGCACTTCAGGCTCATAAAATCAAGCAGAATCTTTTATGATAAAGGATTTAATGGTCTTTAGTTGTAAATGATATATTTACACTTCTATGCAGCTTAATCTATAAATCGAATTTAGCTTGAAAATATATATTGTTCAAGTTAGAATACAATCCTTTCTAAAAGATTTTTAAATTTTTGAAATATGTTAAACAAGTTGTATCATCAGAACTCCCACTCCTTTGAATCTCTATTTAAGTTGGACAATAGAAAAGGCAACATTCAAGTGCTGATCAATTAAAGCGATGATCAGCAGTGCGATCACGTGTGCCGAGGATCTGTTGATGTCAATCGAAATCCTTGTGGCCCACGATCAAACGATCAAGTGATCGGGCCATCCCTCCAATCCATCGATCTGAGAAGTGGGCAACAGTTAGGTTCAAGAAACCCTGGAATCAAGAAAACTGGGATGTCTTTGGGCAGCCGGCCAGATCGGTGGCAAGTACTTAAAATTCTGGGAGCAGTATCGATGCAGCCCGGAGGCCCAACTATTTGGGCCCATCGGCGGCCCATGTGCTCATAAAAGCCAGACAAAAGCGCTGCGGATCGGATCGGATCGGTTTGGATTGGTCCGCGCGATGTGCGATATACGATGTACGATGTACTGACAAAGTGCGGTGAAATTATCAAAGTGAAAGAATGGAGAGGACTGGGGGCATGGGCTCTTTGGGAGGTGATGGTGGTCAGGTACGAGGGTCTCTGGGCTCTGGGCTCTTTGAAAATGGAAAAGAGAAAGACACCTTGGCCACATAACGCAGACAGGGACAGGAAATGCTCTCTGTCATGATCATTTTCCATAATTAAACGGACGCAGCACAAGACATTGGCCACTTGTGGGTTAAATGGGTTTGTTGGCCCCTTATACTACGTACATTTGTATTTAGATACACGATACACTCGTATGCATGTGGACGGTCAGCTGGATATGTAGATACTTGGCCACTTGGATTACTCGGGTGCCGCGCTTAATTGATTTGTCTTTTGGCGCTTTAGCAATGACTTCGTTTTACTTTTGCACTCTAATAACTGCAACATTGATTTTAGCACCTTGATGGGACTGCCATTCGGTTATATTCGCTATGAGGATCGTGTTCATTGTATTTATTATAAATATTTATAAACTGGATAAGGGAAATTATGTGATGAATTTAGAATAACCAATATATCATAGCATATTTGAATGAAGATCTTATGTTCTAAAGGATTATACTTAAATGCTTCTACTGAAATTAAACATCTCATAGAGCATTACCCCCATCGACTTGAAAATCTTTAAAGAAAACTACAATAATTGGCTAATTGAATTATTTGCACAAGTTAAGAACTAATAATAATTGGCCGGGAGGATGTGGGTCCGCTCAGCACGACATTGGTGGCCTTGACTGGGTGTTGGTGCGATGGGTGGTGTTGACTGCTTCGCTGGTTGGTTGACTAGTTAGTTGGCTGGTTTGTTAGTCGTTAAGTTTGTTGGCCAAATACCAAGGTGCCGTCGATGATGTGGCCAAGCAAGATGGCAGCAGCAGCAGCTGGTGGGCGGATGTGGACTTGGATTGTAAATATTCGAACGGCCACCACCGGTAAATTGCGTTCAAGGCGGTACGTGGCAAAGAATCCGTAGACCTTGCCACACGGTACTCGGTACGAAACAGTCGGCTAATTAGGCAGAAGCCTCCGAACGAACGGTTCGCGAGGAAGGTCTGGGCTAGAAGTGAGACTCAAGTGGAGGTTGCTGGCGCTACTCGAGTGGTGACCCCGACACGAGCCTTCACCAACAGAATATCCAGGGGTTTTGCCAATGACGACATCTGATAAGTTTAAATGAGACTTTAGAAGGGTTTAAACTGGTAAACTCCTATTCCTGCCAAGATACTTATCTATAATCTAAATGGATGGTATAAAATATCATAGTATATTATATGTTATTTTAAGGAAAATCTTTGCATTGTTACGATCTCCCAATGTAACCCCAGTCAATTCCCCTCTGACCCATTTCCCCCTATCGTCACGCTGTGAATCTGGAATCCGAATCCCGATTCTGGTCCCTCGGTTCCGTGTTGTGGGTGCTCGATAAGCAGGGTAAATATTGAACCTACTGAACCTCAATAAGCCCAAACCAAACCGGGAAACCAAAACCAATGAGGCAACAAATCAAAACAATCTGGGATTCGGATACTCGTCAGTTTGTGTGTGTTTTTCCCTGGACCTTGTGGATATATATATACATATATATATGACATGAGGGTTACCCGTTTGTTTGCCCCGATGTTTTGGACACCTGCATGTGCTGGCCCGATAACTCCATCGAATATTCGTCTGGGTGACGGGATGGATGCGATGCGGACATCTCAGGTATGCCTGTGTCTATATCTTTGTTTGATTTCGCTCTGATCGTGTGAAGGTTTGAATTATTTTTATGGGTGTTATCTTATCGTATATGATTTACGATAGAGCAGGCTTGAAGGCTTGAGAATGAACAGAACTGTTGCAAGATTTTTCAACTACACCACAGAGAGAGAAAATAATAGATGTATTAGGTTATAATTAATATTTTTATTAAACTCTGTTTTATTATGTTTTCACTCCGATCACCCCTTCCTTATTTATATATCTCTATTCTTCCGATATCTCCCTCGATTTCTCTCTTCGTACTGCTCTTGCTCTCGCGCCAAACACGAACGCATTTCATCCGGACGGATGTGAGCATTACTTTTTATGGATATTTATGTAGGGGACGTGATCGTCGAAAAAACACCGACACTCAAACATCTAAAGTCATCCAATCTACACACACTCGCAGAAAATGTTAAGAACTCTTTGGGAAGTTGAGTTGTTTGTGTGGTTTCACTGAGAATCGATGATGGGGTTACGGACACCGGGCGACTGTTAATGTGTGAAGCAGGAAATCGACAGACGACACACATTGCCAATCGTTTATCGATCTCCAGCGAGGGAAAGAGACGGGGCGAAAGATTACGGTAAATCCCGCCGCGTGACCATAGGAAATATGATTTTTCATCAGTTTTTACTTCATTTAACTCGATTACTCTTTGAAATCAATTGGGGTCGAGTCATCAGGTGACTTAAAAAATTTTAAATATTATTATCATAATATTAATATGATAAAAAACCAGGAAAATAAAGTATCTTTACTTTGTTTACTATTTGTGGAGTAAACATTTTAATTCGGTTAATTGGAGTGCAGCCTCCTTACGTAATAGGTGGCCTCGGATAACATCAGTGTCTGGAGACAGTCTATCGTACATTCGTGTGGCCAAACATGAGTGTTTCCATGGACTATCCAACCGATTATCCATCCATACATTCGACCATCTGTCTGTTTAGGCAGAAATGCGCAAGTTCCTCGGGTGTTGGCTGCGCGTGCGCGAACTCCCTCCGTTCGAGTCCCGCTTCCAGAAATGATAGCGATGATAAGGCCATCGAAAGTGATACCAGACATGCGATAGCAGATCACGGACATGGAAAGCGAATACCTTTGGGAATACTTGGGAAACCATCACGAAAGGCGCCGCGCGAGTAGAGCTTCTCATTTTGCCCGAGAACTTGAGAGCTAAGAGCGGAGTTTTGGCCTTGTCAAATGATCTCAGAGCGATTTTCATATTTAAATATGACTAATGGTGGATTCTTAGAAATTCAAGGCTTTGGGGAACCTTGAGAACTTTTTGAAAAAAAAAAAAATATTCTATTATTATATAATGTTATATATTATATTATTATTAAATATCAATATTATTATATAATCATCTGGAAAACATCATCTTGAAATCACAGCTGTATCGACTGTGTTTATAGGTGGTTTTCAAACCAAACTATTTGCGGTTTGTTTCAAACGAAACCCGGCAGTGATTTGATCGCATTTCCAGGCAATTGATATGCGGCCACTTCCTCCTGAAACGGAGCTTGGATGCCTTTAAGCCCCGAAGATACAGATACATCCACACAGTCGGCTGTTAATTACAACAGCAACAAGATGCCGCATTGCATTAGCAGAAATCAAACATGCAACGCAGCCAAGAGTCAGCCGACCAAACAGATGGATGGATTGGATGGATGGAGGAGCCACTACCAAATAGTTGCAACATTTTCAATTATGAAATGCTTCTTTTTGAACACAACACAACTTTTCATTGGGTTGTGCAGGCCCCGGCGATCCGATTATATAAAGCGAGGCGAGCGTAAATCATAAAAGCGGCGAATGTATCTTGCAGTTACCGAAAATTGCATCGCAGCGCGCAGCGCGTGCCGTCAGTTAAAAACAAAACAAAAACGAAAACAAAAACAACAAAAACACAAAAAAAAAAATGAGAGGAGAAAAAAAAGGTTAGCTCATCGAAGGTGGCAAAGTGGGCGGGGAGGCGGTGGTGCGGCGGTGCGGTGGGTGGTGGTTGGGGGCTGCCCGGGCTCTTCTGTTGTTTTTGTTAATTACACGGCAACAGCAGCCGGTTGATGGTTGCACATGCGCCACAAATTTGTTGCATTTACGCGAGATATTTATTATGATTTCGCCGAGGTTTCTGCGCTTTTATTTTTTTTCTGAGTTGTTGTTGTTTGTTTTATGAATGCGGCAAATGGAAATTGAAGAGGAAGATTGCATGATGCACCAATGGATGCGGTTGTTGCTGATGTGCATTTGCCAACTGGCGCTTTTCGAGTCGGTTTTCTAATACTGATGGCAAATGTAAAATTCAAGGCATTAAGATGTTTAAGCTAAACAGGCTATGATTTTAATTGAAAGTCAGAATCCTGTCAGTAGGATTTTTATCCATCACTCACGATAAAACATTTCAACCACGTCGAGGTCGATTAAGAAATATATAAAAAAAATTAATCCAGATGTCTCAGACAAACTTAGCGAAGAGCGATGAGCATTGCATGCGTTGTTTGCACTGCATGCAGGTGGTCCGTTGCTCTCGATACGATACTAGTGCACTAGTGCGCCACATCGAACTGGAACACCCGGACATATTCTCGGTGGCCAGCAGCAAGATCAGGAATGTCCACAAGCTGGACTCAGAACAAGGATCTAGCGGAGACTGTATAAGCAAAACCACTGGACCCTCTGAACCAAAGAAACCAATGGACGAACAGTTTGATCCATGTAAGTAGCTTGAACCACTGAAAGCGTTGCATTTACAAACGAATTTCCAGTGTGGTTTGATAACCATTGCAGTGGAGATGCCCAAGGCAAAAATGATTCCACTGCGGGGTGCTGTGCTGCGGCTGCCAAAAAGACCACCGATCCATGTTCGAATGCCAAGAATAAAACATGTCCAGATCCCAAGGAGCATCCCGGATCGTGTCTCAAGAAGCAATCGCTTCCCATTTCCAAGGTCGAGACATGTACTTGTGCCGAAATTAAGCAGATTCGCAAGAAGTACTATCGAGCTTCCGTGGAGCGTTGGCGTGCCGTGGATGGGTTAATTTTGTGCCCAGCCTGCGGGATCAAGAGTCGTCCGTTGATTAAGACGTCCGCGGAAGTGAATTCCGGATGCTGGGCCAACTGCTGGCCATTCTGCTACTTTCCCTGTCTGATGTCCTCCGACAAGCAGGTGTACCTACACTGCGGCCAGTGCAAGATTTTTTTGGGCATCTACAATCGCGAGAAAAACAGCGTGAGACCCAACAAGGAGTTCGTGTAAAGGAACCAAGTTTAACTCAAGTTTTCATTTCAAAATTATTCGTTTCAAAGTATGGCTCATGTAAGCCTTCAGGTTTTTCTAACAAATTGGAAAGAACTCCTGGTTTTGGCTCTCACTTTTATAACAAATTTTTTCAAGTTGTTACGCAATTGTAAATTTAATACATAGAATACAATAAACTTTCTGTTCCACATTGGGTTTTTATTTTTATAAATTGAATGTCGGTTATTTGCTTCATGTAAACTAGTAATAGTACTTAAGTTGTACGTAGCCGTTTAAATTCTGTTGGAAGTGGCCCTTAAAATCTCTTGATTTCCCAGGCCACGGGGACAAGTAAAAGAACATGTCATGAAGAGCAGATCTCGAATTTGAGGTTGTGACAGATACGAGCAATTAAGTGAGTGCTGTTTCTCGCTTCTTGTCGTTTTGTCGGACAAAACGAGACGCGCTACGTTGGTACACCTGGGCCACCTTGGTGTTCCAAAGACGAAAGGCGAAAGATGGGAACGGAGGGCTAACGGAAACTGCTTAAAAAACTCATCCAGTTGGCGGTCAGTTCGGTCAGCTTTCATCTAACTCGCAGCACCATATCTTTTATGGCAGTAAAAACATATTACGAGTTGTTCGCTGCTGGTGTTTCTCAGTCAGTCCGTTTTTATTTTGTTGTGTTTTTGTTTTTGTTTTTTGGGCGCTATTATAACGACACTCGTCTCGGGGTCAAAAGGTGCTGAGAACGAGCTGCCAAATGATGCTGAAATTGTCGAAATCCGAAACTTGTTCCACCTGAACTTACTTTATGTTGAAATACATATTTCAGACTTTGCTCAGATCACCAAGTACTTTCCCAAATGATATCTCTTGCGGGCCTGAGAAAGTCTCACAAAAAAAAAAAAAAAAAGAAAACAGGACATTTGACTAATTGGTCAGGCAGCTGATGGGAGATTGTCTATATTTTTTTGTTGTTGTTCTAAAAGACAATCGATCGAAGGGTTAGGGATTTTAACACGCAGACGAGTGGCCAAGCTAAAGATCATCATCCCGTTTCGGGATGCTGCTCTACTTACGCCCCGGGGATCTGATCTGTCACCTTTGCCAAAGAAAAGTAAAGGAAAGGGAAAAGGGTTGAGGAGACGGGGTGGTGAACCCATAAATCAACAACGGTTGATGAGCAGAAACCAGTTTGGCGACTTAACCCTTCTTCTCCTTGGACAAACTTCGGAACGAACATCCTGTTTCGCTACACTAGATAAGTTTACCCTTTCCCCTTTTGATCTTCCCTGATCTGCTGACCAATGTCCGCTGGGCACACGAAAATCTTGAACTTTCCGGACAAAAACTAATTGAATTTTCTGCTGCCGATGGGTTGATCTCATTCGACCCAAAAGAGGGTCCATGTCAATTTCATTAAAAATGTCCGAGAATGTTTTTTGAACTTTTAACTTGTGCGAGATGCTAAGGGTTGCGCCGATTTCAGGGGTTGTGGGGGTTAGACCAACGTCAAGGGCCATTTTTGGGTTAAAAATGTCAGTTTTTAGCACTCCATTATGGAAGCTGTACAGGGGTCGCAATTGAATGTTTGGACCAATCGAAAGTGTTCTTTTGTTTAAAGAATTTTCAAGATATATATTTTATTACACAACTTTATGACATATATTTTATATAAAAATGTATATTATATAATATTATTGTATATCAATAAGACATTCCCCTCCTCTTTATCGTATACCATATATGTATTTCCAAACTGACCGTTGGTCATTCTTCAGTGAATTCCTGCTAATCCTTGACCGAAACTTGCCCTGCTTTAATTTGGCCTGCCATTCAACGGACACGTCTTGGACTTTCAACTAAAAAACAAAAAACAAAACAAAGGCTGACATAAAAAACAGCAAAAACCGTTACGCCTTGGCACAAAGCCCAAGGGTCCTGCCAGCTTGTCCTTTTTCCCGATCCGATCCGATCCCGATCTCGTTTCTTGCGCGCCTGCAACGCCAGTCACTGACCTCATTTCGATCGGGTTCGGTAGGTCCTTCGTCCTCGTCCTCGTCCTCGTCCTCGTCTCAGGATATCCCGAGTTCAGCTGGACTTTTGACTGAAACCGAAACAGTAACAACTTGCAATTAGGGCTCTTTAATGCCCAGAGGGACCAGGGCATCTTTAAAAGAGGGAATGGATCAAGAGATATCTGAACTGGGGCGTTTTCAGATGGGATACATCCGAAATAAAAACAAAAGAGCTTGTTTATTGAATTAAAAATTAAAATATGTTTGACAGTTTATCCTTAATGCTGAAATTAATTTAAGCAAAAATATATATTACAATGTTGAATTATTATTGAATAACTTTTCCTGTAATTTGCATTTAATTTTTAATTTAACCACCCATTTTACCGGCTGGGAAAATCGTGCAGAAAGATAAGCCTTCTGTCAGCTAATCCCATCAATAAGATATTTCGAATACCCCCGGAAAGACCAGAGATAAATCGCTGCGAGTTTAAACTCTCATTAACCCAGAATGGATGCGCCAGGACCTTGGCCGCGGATCCATAAATTATCATTTTAGAAGCCAGAGCAAGGGTCGCAAAATGAAATGAAGGTGACTGCGTCATAAAACAAATTCCTAATCAAGGGTTTCCGGATCAAATTGTAATACGCATGTTGACCGCTCCGAAAACGGGATGACCAAGATCTTGGCGACCGGTCAAGCTAAATGAAATATGAGTTCGGAGTTTCCAAAAGCAATACGAAAAGGAAAAGGGGAAGGAGGATCGGCTGGTCAAGCGTGTAATGCATAAGGATGTTAGGATGTCTTGGCAGTGGCAATTTCACAGAGGTCCGGCCCAAATCAAGATCATTGACCAAGGACCAACCCAACTAATATTCAAATGAGGTTGCCGCATTCGGGGCCCGAGGGCCCGTAAATTAAGGCGACCAACTGGTGATTGCTGACTGCTGATGATGACTGCTGACCAACTGCAACTGCTGCCAGGCCAAAGGGGCAGGGAACGGGGTCAGCGGATCAGGGGAAGGATCGGCGGAGGGATCGTCGGAAGGAAGGGTTAGGGATCTTTAGGGGGAACGGGGTGAGTAACGAGCGCACAACTCATTACAATGGGAGCAAAGACGAAAACTGGAATTCGGGGCATTCCTCCTCCTCCTTCTTCTTCTTCTTCTTCGCCTTGCTCAAAGGGATGCGGTGAAATTGCAGTGCAGTATCCCACCTTAAGACGACCTCTGCGAAATGGGACCAAAAGCAACCCCTCGCGATCCTCAAACTGGACAATGGTCAGTAGTCTGCCGGCTACTTAATGTAGCCCGGTCGACCTCATTTGCATTTCTCGCGATCTCTCGCGTTGCGCCTTCGTCCATTTATTTATTTGTACATTTACTCGGATGGGAACTTTTCTTTGACCGTTGGTCACTCCTGGCTCTCTATTGTTCCACATTTTTATACCCTTGCAGAGCAAAGGGTATTATAATTTTGGCCAGAAGTTTGCAACGCAGTGAAGGAGACACCTCAGACCCCATAAAGTATATATATTCTTGATCAGCATCACGATCTGAGTCGAAATACGTCTGTACGTCTGTCCGTCTGTCTGTCTGTCCGTCTGTCCGTCTGTCCGTCTGTCCGTCTGTCCGTCTGTCCTCCTGTCCGTTTCTGCCTAAACTAGTCTCTCAGTTTTAAAGCTATCTTTCTGAAACTTTCCCAAAAGATGTGTAGTTATTGCACGCAGTATATAAGTCGGAACGAGCCGGATCGGCCGACTATATCGGATAGCTCCCATACAAGAGGTCAAAAAAATAAAGGATAAAAAATTATTACGCCGTTGTTTTTGATCTGATCGACTTGAATTCTTCAAGATGGCGTTTTCTAACTGTTATTGAATTTCGGATTAAATTTTATCAAAATCGGATAACCCTATCATATAGCTGCCATAGGAAAGATCAAAAAATATATATAGAAATAATGGCAAAATAATCATAACGTTGTTGTTTTTTATTCCACGAGGATGATTTCTACATTATTAACTTTATGAACTACCCTTGAACCGAGAAAAAAATTTCATAAAAATCGGACCACTATATCATATAGCTGCCATATGAACAATAGTCGAAAATATGGAAATTTAATAGAAAAGTCGTCATAGCTTCGATGATGTTAGCCTTTATGTATTTTGTTCGATATGTTTGATGACTGCAAGGGTATATCAGCTTCGGCTTGCCGAAGCTAGCTTCCTTTCTTGTTATATGTATGTGCATATAGAGTATATCTATATAGACGGTAGAGTGGTCCATTGTCCAGGGGCCCGTCGCCTATTGTTTTCCTATGTCATGTCCGACGAGAACTGCGACTAGAGAAGCTAGGAGTCGGGAAGCCCGAACCCCCGAAGGGGCCAACAAAGCTTTCCCGGGGGCAAACTCGTTTGTGACCGCTCGGGTTCAAGTGAGATATATAACATGCATTTCGCGGCAATCAGTCGCTACCTAACAGCCAACAACTAACAGCTGTGATCGCCGATCTCAGGCTTCACTAATTATATGCCTCGATTTGGTGGAAGCCACTTTTTGGGCGGGAACTCAAAATAACAGAGATGTAAAAAGCTTTTTGTGGTAAATGTATCTCTTGTGGTTTTTGATTCTGACCTTGTTTTATTTAAAATTCAATAACTTTATAAAAAAAATATAATTAAATAATTCATTTTTATAGGAGAATATATATTAGATTTAATCTAACATCATTGAATTTGATAAAGCTGCGCACATTTATCATAGCTTATGGCTTATGGGATATTGATGTGCTGGCTTTGACCTTTTGTGCCGCATGCGGTGACCTGTGGAGTGAAGCTTGGGCAGTTAATTACTTCATTTCATGCAGTTTATGCCCCGAAAGCCAAGCCTAGGCCAACATCCACCCCCAAGAGAGAGAAAAACCCAAAAAACCAGAAAACTAGAAACACAAAAAACAGAAATGAAGAGTCAACAACTCATTATCCAAGAGTCGGGGGATGTATTTCATTCGGTGGGTTGATGCGGCGTTTAATCGTGACTTTTAACGCACATCCAGCCGAGGATGGGCAGAAAGGTGAGGTTAAAGGTTACAGGGTGTGGTCCTCCATGACCACCCCATTCCACCCCACCCACGCCCAGCGGGAAGCAGATGCTTTTCTTTGGGGTCGTAATCCCAGAGGTTCTG